TTATGTCTTACCTTTACTTGGGCGTGCGAAGCTGGGTGGTGATGTAATGGTGCCGCCAGGGGGCCACTGGGTTGGCCATCCGTTTTCTTAGGGTGGCCGTGGCCCCCCCTGGCAAGGAGCATATGCATAAAATACTATATACTGTTTATATTATGTAACCCCTTGGTTTGAGTTAAAAGGTGAATAGCAGCATACAAGTGTTCTCATATATACAAAAACAAGTTACAAAGTGCTTTAACAAGTGTAAAGACAATAATACCCAAAAAACAATAATAAAGAAACAATACAAGATAAAAGCAAGAAAACATTGAAAAGACTAAAATACACGTTTAAGATAAATATAAAATAAGTAAAATAGAATAACATAAAAGGGATAAAATAAAGTCAAATAAGATCGGGAAAGGCTCTCCTATAAAAGTATGTTTTAAGAAGGGACTTAAAAGAGTTCACTGACTCAGCCAACCTGATTTCCTCGGGCAGGCTGTTCCAGAGCCTCGGGGCCCTGACAGCAAACGCTCTGTCCCCTTTAGTTTTCAGTCGAGACTCTGGAACAGACAGCAGACCTCTGCCCGAGGATCTCAAGGTATGTGCTGGTGCGTATGGGACTAAAAGGTCAGAAATATAACAAGGCGAGAGGCCATGAAGAGCTTTAAAAGTGATCAATAAAATTTTAAAGTCAATTCTAAAACATACTGGGAGCCAGTGTAATGAAGCTAAATTAGGGGTAATGTGGTCATATTTCTTTGTTCTGGTTAAAGCCTGGCAGCTGAGTTCTGGACAGTCTGGAGTCAATCAGTAGATTTTTGGGTTAAACAGGTGAAAAGGCTGTTGCAATAATCCAGGCGTGATGAGATGAAGGCGTGTAAAATGGTCTCGGTGTCCTTAAAAGTTAACTATAAGTTAGTTATAGATCGAATTTTGCTATATTTCTAAGTTGATAAAAACATGATTGAACAAGCTTTGTGGTGTGCTGCTCGAAATTTAAATTACTATCAAACCAGACACCAAGGTTCTTTGCAACAGGCTTAATGTGATTTACTAGGGAACCAGCAGATGGCAGTATTTGTTTTGCCAAATGCTGGGACCCGATGACCAGGATTTCTGTTTTGTCAGTGAGTTCAGCTGGAGGAAATTATTTGACATCTATTTTTTAACTTCACAAACGCAGTCGGTAAGTGAACTCAGCATTCCAGGGTCTGAGGATCTGACGGGCAAGTACATTTGTGTGTCATCAGCTTTAATCTGAAAAAAAAAACTTGTTTATGGATAATATGTCCAAGGGGAAGCAGATACAAGGAAAACAAAATGGGTCCTAAGACTGACCCCTGAGGCACACCATATTTAACTGGACAGAACGAAGAGACATAGTTGTTTACAGATACGCAAAACTTCCTATTTGACAGGTAGGATGAAAACCATTCTAGGGCAGTACCAGAGATCCCCACCCAGTGCCTCAGTCTGTCTAACATGATGTTGTGATCAATGTTGTCAAAAGCAGCGCTAAGGTCCAGGAGTACCAGGACTGAGCACATGCCTTCATCAGCAGACATTAAAAGGTCACTGGTGACTTTAAGCAGGGCAGTCTCAGTGCTGTGGTACTTCCTGAAACCAGACTGAAACTTTTCAAATAATTTGTTATTTTCCAGTACAGCGAGCAGCTGTTTGGACACAATCTTTGCAATAAAAGGCAGTTTTGAAATTGGTCTAAAATTTTGATGGAGGGAGGGATCTAAACCAGGTTTCTTTAAAAGTGGGTTCACGCAGGCCGTTTTAAAATAATCAGGGACACAACCAGTAGATAGGGAGCTGTTAAAAACAGAGATCAAATGGGGCCCAACAGAATCTATTACTTTCAGAAAAAACTTTGTAGGTATTACATCAAGGGGGCTGGAGAACACTCTCATTTGTGATACTGTTTTTAAATGCTCAGACAAGTCGATGGGATAAAACTGGTTAAAACTCTCTTGTTGCTGGTGAGGAACCTCTGAGTAAGAGGCCGCGGGGGTAATAGAGGCTCTGATTGACACCACCTTATTGGTAAAATAAGATAAAAACAATTCACAATCATCATTACTTCCAGCTGAGGCACAAGGAGGGCTTGGGTATACCAGCTGATCCACAGTCTTAAACAGAAACCTGGGATTGTGTTTATGTGTAGTAATGAGTTCAGAAAAATAATGTGTTCTCGCATCCTTAACCATGTTATTGTAGTTAATTAATAAATCCTTCAGACTGAGGTAATGGACTTAGAGACTGGATTTTTTCCATCTGCGCTCTGCTTTCCTGCATTCCCTTTTGAGGCTGTGAATGCTGTCATTTATCCAGGGTTGCGTACTAGCTTTAGACGTAGGCCTAACCTTTAGAGGAGCAGGAATATTTAGTGACGACAAGCAGATATGATTGAAGTGATCGACCAGATTGTTGGTGTTGGAATCAGCCAGGTGTTGGCTTTGGCTCTGAAAGAATGTGCAAAACTTTGAAACACTTTGTTCATTAAAGAAGCGAGAACACACGGAGCTTGGTGAGGCGGCATGAATAACAGGTGAATCGCAGCTAAAAACAATACATCTGTGGTCAGATATGGTCATGTCCACTAATTCCACCGAGGAAATGCTGACACCCAGGGTAAAAACCAAGTCCAGTGTATGACCACAGTTATGTGTTTGCCCTTTGACATGTTGTTTGAAGTTAAAAGAAGACGCCATATTTAAAAAGTCAGTTGCATTAACATTGGTGGGGTCATCAACATGAATATTAAAATTGCCACAAAGAACAATTCTGTCATAATTTAAAACCAGAGTAGATAAAAATTCAGGAAGTTCTGATAAAAATCCTCCAGGCGGTTTTGGGGGGCGATAAATTATAACAAATATGATAGGTTGCAGCCCTCCAAGTTTAAGAGTGAGAACTTCAAAGGAGTTAAATTCATCACAGCGTACTTGATGACATTTAAAATTTTTCCTATACATGCTCACTAGCCCACCACCACGACCACTGACCCTCGGTTGACTAAAACAATCATTTTGAGGCGGACACAGTTCAGCTAGCTGGGTATAGTCATTTATTTGCAACCATGTTTCAGTTAAAAACATAAAATCTAGATTTGCAGACAAGATAAAATCATTTAAGATAAAACTTACTTGACAGTGATCTCTCATTGAAGAGAGCCATTTTAAATGAGTTTGTTCTGGGTGCTGGAGTTGGTGCAGTTGTCCTAATCCTTAAGAGATTACTATTATTTCTGTGTGGGATGTGCACATTTCGGTTTACTGGTCTAAGCGTGATTATGACAGGAACAGGAGTCTTTGGAACAGCGCTGGGAGCAGACGGCTTTACATGCCAGCAGGTGGAGACAGTTGTTTGTGGCAGTGAGGCAGAGATCTGTTCAGTGACCGGTGGTGTGTCCAGGTGGCTCTATTAGGCTCTGTCACTTAAAGAGAATGACCTCTGATCCTGAGCTGTGATAGACTGTGATGTTTATTTTAGGAGAGGCCTCCGATTCATCCATGTAGATGGCAATCACGTTTCTAAAATTGTAACTGGTTAAGGGGCGGGACTAAGAGGCAGAGCAGAGCGGAGTACACCAGTGTTTTGCCGAAAGTGTGTGTTTTCTGTGGAGGCAGCAACAAGCTGCAGAAGAAAGAAAAGTGTAATTTAATCACACTGCTACACAGTTTTGTGTATTGTACTATGTGTGAGAGCTGATAGTCTGCAGATAGCAACAGGTTAGCACCATTGCTAACAGCAAGCTAACATCGTACGAACTCTGGAGCCCCTGACAGCGCCGTGTGACCGGCTGTTAACGTTATGCTTTAAGGGAGACCGTCCTGTCCCTGTTTTCATCTTCATCTTTCTGAAAGGATTGCAAAACATGAGAAGAGCAGAGTCATCTGGACGATGCTGTGAAACTGGGCTCAACGTTACTTGCGCCCAACAGACGCTCCACTGAGCAGCACAACAAACACTGCGGGGCCACGACGAGTCGGCGGGCTGTCTGAAAAACTTCAGTCACCCAGAAGTTTGCTCAGAGGAACAACTGCCGGGCCGCCTTTCTGTGGTGAGTGAAAGCATCTTTTACCTGACTGTGCTGCTGGTCCCTGCATGGGCAAATTGTTGTGCTGGATCGGTTGAGACTAGGCTACGGATTACGGTTGTTGTCGTAATGTTGTTGTCATATAGCCACTTTCATACTGCATTATTATTCGGAATTATTAGGCCAGTTTGCCGGCTCGCTGCGCTGTAAGGTACGGAGCTGGGAATGGAATATATATTGGTGGACATTCTTTCCATTATGTTCGCAGGATGTCTGGATCCCTAAAACGTTGTCTGTGTGCATCGTTTACTTAATTGGTGTTGAGCTCAATGCTCTTTGCTTATGGTCCTGTAGGCTCATTTGTTCTGAGCTTGGTTGTGTCTGCTTAAATATTGCATTCTTAATCTAGGTTTGTGACAGTGGTACTGTAATTTGTGTCGATGCACTCCTCTCGCTCTCTCTCTCTCTCTCTCTCTCGTGTTTTGTGGAGCCGTGCTGTTTGTTGACATGTTAAAAAACACAGAAGCAAGAGAGACTATTGTAGTTTTACTGGTATCTATGTTTTAAAATGGTTGGTGCCCCCCCACCATTTTTGCATATAAATATGACACTGGTCAAATCGGTTGTTAAAAAGTGGGATATTTCAAGAATAACTGTCCTAGTTGTTTGTAACAAGAATAACACCAAACTTAGTATGTTATCAAATAATTACACAACTCTATACAGACAAATATCGTATATTTCAAATTGAATTTAAAGACAAATATTTATGCTCCATCATGTGTGTAATCTTGAGTAGGCTTTCGTTCCTCCCCATCAATGCACTCCTACAAATAAAAGCTGTATTTGTCTTTTTAAGGAAAAGGTTAACTTGCATATGTGGCAGGTTGAGGGTTTTTCTCCCTCCCGCCACTAGGCACTGCACTGGTGCCCTGACAACCGGATGCTGCTGCCGTGGCCTATAGGTACAGGTGATGATGCACCTGTGTCGATCTCTTTCTTACCTGGGTTGGGCGTTTCGACTGTTGGCGACGGTGATCCGGCATTGTGGTGTGCTGATGCGAGTGCTGTCACGGCTGTCATGGCCTGTTGTGCAACAGTTTAGCTGGTGGTTAATATCTCTAAACCTGCGGAGCCAGTCGGCGTTCTGTATGCACGCGACATTGCTCTCGGTTCGTGTGGTAAGTGTGCTGTCTGCTTGCATGCCGATGGAACTGTCTGCTGTGTGCAGTTAGTGCATCGCGGTTAAACACAATGCTCCCTTGATTGTTTTAGAGCGAATCGTTTGCTGTGCGGGCTGTCGCGCTCTGGCCTGTGGCTGATTATGTGTGTGTGCTGTGGAACCGTGGGGGTATGTATGCATGTCTCTTGTATTGTATCCCATTTGAATATATACCATGCGAAATATAATATAATGGTGCTAAATCTTCCCCTCCCTCCAGTGATCTGCTGCACTGCTGCCTCGGCGGGGGTTTGAATGGCGGCTCGGTCTGTCTTTCTCGTGCCTCGGCTTTGGGTTTGGACGGCGGCTTGGGTGTCACTCTCTCTCCCCCTGTGGGATTGCTCTCTGCCTGGTCGGCCCAGTTTCGGCTCTGTCTTGGCTCTAAGTGGGTTTGCCGGTTTTAGCATTTCTTTGTTGGTTGGGTCTAGTTATTGTATATTTAGTTTATACAACTGGCATTTTGTGGTGTGTGTGTATTTTATATTGTTTTTTTCATTTTGGTTCGTTTGAATTAATTGATGTGCACGTTTTGATTAATTTTTGGTGTGTTTTGCTTTATTTTTTTTTGCCACTGTGTATTTTAAATAGTATATTGTATTTTAAATTATTTGGCCCATATTTCTATTTTGCCTTTCTATATGCCTTCTTAAGTGGTATACCAAAGTATATCAGTTTGTGATTCCTTAACTCATATTTTTATGTAGTATTCAACTAGTCTGTATACTGCATTCCTGAAATTCAGTTATGGCTTTTGGTTTAGTGTGCCACCCCAGGATTTTCAGTGGCCCCATCTGGCCACCCCTGGGAAAATTTCCGGTGGGCTCCCCTGTGGTGATGCCGCAGGTGCTGCATCAAATTTGATATAGTTATTCCCTCCTTTAGCAGCAACCAGCAAGTTTTTGAACATGTGATCTGTCATCTTCAATGACGCCCTGGTCAGTCTTGGTGTATCCGAAATTCTCCCACACTGCCAACTTCTGCCATTTCTTTGGTGGAAATAAAGCATCACAGTTTGGTCCCGCTGCCATAGTTCAGCCAGTGTACAGTAGTGGCCTCTGTGTCTCTGATAAGCACGGTACTTTAAGATGGTGCATCGCTTGTGTAACGTTTTGTTTTTATTGTGTGCAAGTTGCAACAGTTCCCTCTCCCTGCAACAGAAACACTCGGTGTAGCAGAGCCTTTTATAATTAATTAACTGTGATGTTTTAAAGCGCGGTTAATAGTGAAATCTGGTAATTGCTGCATCCCTATTCAGAACTCGTGTGAGTAGAACAAAAAGTACAATTTCAGAGAGATTGGTTGGGGAGATGAAAGCAGTATGAATTGTCTGTGCTGGAGGTAAATTATTAAGCCATGATGATGGTTTTATAACATTTTTATTATTCTTGGGTTCATCACAAGCTCTCATTGGTTGGCATTGGCCACTGTTCCAAAATATCTATGTGACTGCTGCAGATTTTGTAAAATATATTCAAACCCTCTGGGTGTCTAACAGGATGATGACGATGAAAATGAGCCCCCAGGAGACAGAGTCCTCTTCAATCTTCTAGTTGATAGGTTTATGGAGTAGAAAGTCATGGGATGATTCAGTATATAACCGCTTTTTATTTATCTAAATCCTGTATCACTTACTTGCTGTGTCTGTGTGTATTGCTAAGCAGTGGGGGTACGAGCAGCCAATCACAAACAGATCTCAATGTGTTTATATGTAGCACTGCGAGAGTTGGGGAGACAGTGGTGACGGGGCAATGATAGGCGACACTAAACACTCACCGCACACAAACTGTCACATGCCATGAACCAGGGATGACAACCACTCCATTATTAGTGAGACGAGTGACAGAATGACAGAGAGAACAAATAAAGAGAAAAGTGTGAGATGAAGAGAGAAAAAGAGTGAAGAGATAGAGGTTAGAAGGGGTTGTAAACACTTACCTACAATGAAATGGAAGGCATAGAGCACCTCCAACAGTTGCATTAGTGAGCCCATGAGAGAGTAACTGTTGGCATCAGAGACATACACAGGCAACAGTAAACACATATTTCAGCAAACAGATACTCTAAATTCTTCTAGAACACCTATCCACTCAGCATTTAGCTTTTGCATTTTGTTATTTTTAGTAAAGATAAAATCTTTAAACCTAAAGTTACTCTGTTTTGCTGCATGAGTTTCATACAAAAAACATGTCTTTATATACTGTATGTTAGAGCAGTAGTGGCATTTTGTTTTTGCATGTGCATATGTTTAAGCATGTGTATTTTGTTGCTTGGAGTCATTAGTGTCAAATGTGGCATGGCAATTAGCGCATTCCTCAGTCGGGCAAGAGCCTAAGTTTGCAGTGTGCAAAGAACAAACAAATTACTTTCTCATCAGTCAGACAGAGGCAGATGAAGAAGAGAATACTTACAACCAACTACAACCAAAACGAATGTAAGAAGAAAGAAGAGACAGTTATGAAATAAAGCCAAATATGGTGGGCAAAAGATGTGTAAAAATAAAGACGAGAGATAAACAACAAGTACAGGAAATACACCAAGTGAGGCAGCAGGGCAGAGGGAGAGATAAAGAAGACAAAAAGAAAGAGAAGAAAGTATAGCAGAATAACTCAACTGTCTCTCAGAGGAGAGATTATAGAACAGCACATACATTTAAAAGGGGTTTTCTTTCTGTCTCTGCCACTTATCATTTTAGAATGCAAAAAACTGTCTTCTATCCCACATTCAGAACATTAATTATGAACAATGAATGTGCATTAAAGTCACAATCTTAACTATAATTACTTTAAATGCATAGCACTGTTATAAGGACTGGGAGACAGGACTCAACAGCAGACTCAGGACACGTTCAATTCCAGGGATTAAGAGTTTATTGAAAGGTGTGTTGTGGTGGCAGCCCGGCTGACGGTGAGTGTCCTGGTTTTTTCTACTTTTTATCAGTTCTTCTGCTTTTTTCCTTGGTTTCCTGTTCTCTGCCCGCCTCTCTGTGTTTTCTCCCCCGTGTGCTCTCTCTCCCTCTGCTCCTGAGCCCAGCCAACTCCCTGCACCTGCAACCCATCATCCACCTCGTCAGCCTGCCACACCTGCCAGTAATCAACCTCATCCCAGCCTGTATTTCAACCCCGGTTCTCCACACCATCCTCGCTTGATCGTCGTTGCTCCATACCTGGTGCCACTTCTGTGTTCAGGCTTCCACGTTTCTTGTTTTTTCAAACTTACCCTGTGCCTTGTCATTGTCTCCCCCTAACCTTGTCTCTCTGTCTGTTTCCCCCCCAGGTACACTCACCCTCGTCCTCCGTTCGGCTGGGCTCATCCACTGGCCCACTCCCCTTCGGACTTCCCTCTTGGCGTCCTCCCTGTTCCCCTGCCTCTCCTCGCTTCCTTGGCCCCTGTGTTCCCCGGCTCCCTGGCCCCCTGTCTCCTTGGTTCCCCGTGCGAGTACTTCCCCGACGTCCTCCTCTCCCTCCACTCCAGTCCCTCACCCTTTTTTCCCCCAATAAACCTCCTTCCCTCTGAATGCTGCATTTGGGTCCTCTCCGTCCACACACCACACACCGTAACAAGGTGTCTGCTATGAATACGGATTAGTGAAACGCGGATAAGGGGTGGAGGTGGAGAGCCAGGGCCAGAGTGAGAAGCCACACCCAGACAGGCACACATGCTGTGTTTCAATTTGCACACTTCTGAGAAGTTTTAAGGCGAGAAATCAACTGTGTATATGTCAATATTGACAGTTTTACGAATAGTGATGGCGAAACAAAAAATGTGCTTGTGTAATGGGTGTGGTTAGGGGTGTGTGAAGGACGACTCGAGATGGCTTCTTTTTCACAATTTATTGGCTCCTGTAGAACACAATGCACATATTAATTGCCTTCTGGCTTCCTCTTACTGTACCTCTGCTTCCTAAACATACAAAAATACAGCGTTTACTCTAGGAAAGAGACGCTGAAATCTCCGAGCTAGAAATGGCGGCTAGAAACTTAAAATGAAAACATTGCTAAAACTTATTTTAATTGTCGAACTAGCACAAAACTGCGATGTAACATAACTGTATTGACATCAGACAATATGTGTTGAAAATTATAAATGGTTAAATTTCCAAGGGAAACAATACTAACAGCAGCACTTTTCCACACAATGGAGAACTACGCAAGCTTAGGAGGTACAGAAGGGATAGTGTGCAGCTAGGATAATTTCCACAGGGTGCATAAACAAAAATAAAGATAAATAAAATAACTCAATGAGATAAAATTCACAATTATTCAATAAAATCATTAAATGATAAATAAAATCCACAGATGCAAATTTGAAAATATATTTCTTAGTGCATTTTTAACTCCATTACACTTGTATTTTTCGGAGTTGAGAAGCTCCGCAAGTGGCGGCGGGGGAAGTTTGCACCAACCCACTGGAGGAGCTAGTCTGGCCTAGGCCAGATGACTGCAGCCAGCTCAGCAGAGACTCCAGCAACAACAGCCGTAAGATTGTTCAAATGTTCGTACTGCTGTTATTCTGTCATTACATTTTCAGTAATTTAAATCAAATGAAGAGACATCTGTCTCGTGATGGACAGAAAATTCTTGGTTTGTGAAACTTAAATAAACAACAGAAATAGTATGAAAAGGGGACTGTCGTTAATTTATTTGTATTATTAATTATTGTTGTTATTATTATTATTATTATTGTTCTTATTTATGCACCAATATAACAAAGATAATTACTTGTAAGTTTGAACTTGGCATTAAACCAAGCATTTATTTTGGGTGATAAAGCCTGGCTGTTAATGTGGAGCTCTGCAGGCGGCCTCTGTGCTGGGGGGATTGCGCAATCTTGTGATAGTCATTTCCAGTTAGTGCACAACAGCAGTGTTTGATTTGAGACAACACTACCCTGCCAAAATTAACGCACTAATCAAGTAAGTACATAGTGTACGCAGTGTACTGCATGTAAGTATACTAAAGTAAGTACCCGAATTGAGACACAGCAACAGACAACACAGAGAGACAGGGTGACTAGCACGAGACACTGGTAGGGAGAAGAACATAGACACAAGGGATAGGAGGAGAACTGCAGAATCCTAACAAGCACAGAAATATATTGGAATTTGTAGTGGCAGACAGTCCAATGACTTGTGTGGTTTGATGTTGTGAATTGATGGTTATTTTTATAACCCGTTCCTTGGTAACAACTTCTTTGGTCTAATTTCAGCAGCAGAAGAGAAGTGCTTGATTTTTTTATTTTTATTAATTACTTATAAGACAATTTACAATTGACACAAAATGTCCTCTAGAACTGTTGTGACATTTTAGCAGTGCAGCGACTCATGAATCTCCTCCTCATCTACTCATATGTCAAGCAGATTGAGGGGACAGCAATGAAGCATGTCCGTCAAAAGTCAGTGAATTCTGTTTGTGTTTGGGAGAGAGCAGGAAAACAAAAACAATTCTTGGGCCTTGTCAATTCACCTAATGATGATGAACACAAAACACAAAATGACAGCGTGTCTTCCATCAGTGTAGCTGAATCAGACAGCCATCTGTGAGTAGTGATGCAGTCTGCCTGGTCTCTGCTCCCTGCTAGTTACTCCACTGCTCAGTTATTTATGTTTTTCAAAGTGAAGAGGAAAGTGCATAGTCATCCAGCATCTGCTCCTTTGGAAATTATATCAGTAGAAATATAAGCTTGTTGGAATGTTCCTCACCAATCATAACTCAAAAGTAATTAGATTTGCAGCAGTGCCTGTTAGCATGCTAACATGCGCTAATTTGCACTAAACAAAATTTGCAAAAACAAAAAGTACAGCTGAGGCTAATGAGAGTGTTATTACTCTTGCAAGAATTTGATCATAAACCAAAGTATCTAACAAACGGAAATTTTCACCTGATGATGACACTCGATAGCCTGACATGACCAGACTAATTTGTAAATGTGAAGTAGTCTGGTATCTCTATGTTAATTTGGAATTTCCAAGGGCCGTTATATAAAACCAAAGCTATTTGCCACTACCAGGGCATTACCTTTTACCTAGCTTGT